TGTATGTTCATTCACGATAAATATAATTAGATTTAGTTAATAAAATTAGCGAACTTAATATTAAGGTTAATTTATAGCTTTTGGTCTAAATCGCATTATAAAATCTTAGAAATAAGCAAAAATAAATAAATAATGTTCATCATTATATTCAATAATATACTAAATATATATTTCAGTTATAAATGTCATAGAAATTTTAGTTGAAACGATGCAGTTTTATAAAATTTACGGTACCGTTTAACCACATAAATTATAAACGAAAAATCACTTGTAAGTTATTACGAGTCGAATTATCTATAACATTTCTAAGGCATTTGCACTACTACAATGATATACTGAAAAGGGATGAAAAATATTTGCTACGTTGAGATTGTATAAAATCGGAATTAATGTATAATGAGAGAAGGAAGCGTAATTATCTAATTATTTCTTGCAAGTTTGAATCTACAAAATCATTTTAACAATTACTTGCATATACGTTTTAGATATGTTGATACGTAGTTTTCTACTAAGTACATACAACGATTAAAATTTAATAGATTAAGATCGAATAATGGTTTTAAGAAATATGAATAGCTTTATTTATGAAATATATTAAATTTAACTAACGATGATAGAGTACCGATATTATACATAATATAATTATAATATATTTTCATAAAGTTCATTTGAACAACTTGATAGTATGTTGGTGGATAAATACATTAGTTGTGGGGTTAATTTATGATTTTATTATAATTTAAAAGTGAACATTTTTAAGGACACTTTAATTTGACATTTTAATAAAAAATTATTAAACAATTTGATGGATAACGATCGATATTTTACTTATTTATGGATACTTATTTATGGATCGTATCAATTATTAATTTCATTAATGCATGTTTCGACGGGCTTTACACAACATCATTTTTACATTTTTTTTTCTTCTGTTATTTGAAATAAATGTAATATTTATAAATTTTGCCGCGATCTCTTATAAGATAAACTTTATAAATCTAAGAAAACCTTTTCTTTTAATGCACAAAATAATATAATCGACTGATTAATAAATAATTTTATCTAGAAGCTAGAGCTTTATATCATAAAATAATATGTTTTGCTCTGTTTGTTTTATTCTATTTTATATTTCTATTATTGAAAATCAATATTTCTATATTACCATGTATTAACAGTATAATAGTGTAAGAATCTATAAAATTTATCAAGCGAGAATATTTTAACTTTACCTTATTTATTATAAGGATAATCAAATCTGCTTAATTATAATACATATTTTCAACAATTAATAATAAATTTTCTATATCGCTAGTTTATATTTTATGTATACATTTTCATTGAAATGAAAAACAAAAGGCGCGATACCGTTACATTGTAATTACTAAAAATTCAAAAATAATATTAGATTGATACACTTATTTATTCTGAAGCTTCGATTGTTTCAAGATATTATTTTCGAAATAAATGAAATTAACATAATAGCAATAATTTTCTGATGAAAAGTAAGGGAGAGAGAGAGAGAGAGAGAGAGAGAGAGAGAGAGAGGAGAGCAAGTGATCTTATATATAATATCGATTGGGTATCGTCAATCTCTAATATGCATGTGCAACTATTCACAAAGCCACTTCCTTTAGAAAAAAATTACTATTAATTTTATCTAACTTCGGGAACAAATTGTTCCGCCTCGATATATGCTATAGACAAAAGTTATACTAGGAGCTGCGAAAGTTTGTCTGTATGCACGTGGAATAATCTATTTCTTCTGTTCCTATAAAAACAGTTGTTTCGATGTCGAAGGTTTTCTAACACGGATACATATTTTTGTGAGTTTCAATGGTCGTATTTTATTGTTGGGATTTCGTTTCCGTGCGTTGCATACCGTTTCTTTGTCATTTTTCAATTGACTTTGGATTTACGTTTGCGCCTTTAAAATGTGACCAGATCTACACAATAGCATATCGAAAATAGAATTTACGCTGTTATTTATAGATAATGTGACCGTATATTAAGCTTAGAAATGTAATTTTTCTAAAAATTTTTCGTCGACAATAATATTAATTGCACGAGGTCATGGGTGTAAAATTTGAAATCCAATTTTGTTATAAAATTAAGAGTAGTTAAACGTATATTGATGGTAAATAATGTTAAATGAAGAAATGAACATGAATTATTTTATAAAATAATGATATACTGTTGTTACATATACTGTAATATAATAATATTTTATTTTTAATATACTTTACAATATATTTCTTAATGACAAACAATCGTATATTGTTAAAATTTTTATCCTTCAATTATTAAAAATTCTATTTAATATATTTCATATATATTTAAAATATTTTGAAATTGTTTATACGTATAAAAGTTTTTTTTTCTTTCGATTTTATGCGATGATTCATTATATTTTTATTCGTTATTTAAGAAAAAAAATTCAAATTTTTTTAGGCTTAAAGATTGACTAGATTTTACTGTGATTCTTTCTATCTATATCTCAGATTATTTTCTTAAAATTAATTTCTTCAAAAAATTTATCGTTGAAAATATACAAAATAATAATTTATTTAATTATCATAGCTAGCACATGTGATATATTTTTAAATAATGTAAATAGTGGAGTATTACAATTTTGTTTACAAAGAAATAACTTTTATAGATTATAAAGGTTATTTAGCTTATAAATTAATAGTATTTAAAAATTATAAATAAATAAATAAATATATATATATATATATATATATATATATATATATACACATATGTATTTTTCTTATAAATTAAATATGCACGATCATTAATGTTTAAACAATGAAGAGATTAACCGGTAGATATCTTGTAATCGATAATATTAATAAAAAGTACAAACTTTTTGATTGTCTACACATCCTTAATGCTAACTTCGAATACATAAAGTAAGCATTCGAAATAATAAATTGATTTCTACAGAGTTGTGAAAAAATATAAAAATCGTATTCAAGATACTAAATTGTTTTTATGGTATTGTTTTGTGTATTTGTCTAATATAAAAAGATCTAAACATTAATGATATTTTATATATTTTATACGCGATTGTATTCAAAGTTTTTTTAAAAAGATTTTTCGCCATTATATTATTATTTATATTGTGTTTATTGTATTTGACATTAGTTCACATAGCAGAAGAATAATTAAAAATTTTCCTTAAAAGTCTTTAAATACAAATTATTATAGTCTGTCAAAGCATTTTATTATCTTATTTTATAGCATACCAATACGACTTAGACATATTAATTTAATAAACTTCCTTCTCTCTGTACAAATAAATATGAAATTTATATTCATGTAATATAATTTTTTATATAATAACATTTTCATTTATTTTATAAATTATAAATGGATTTACATTTTTTATACAATTAATTGTATATAATTCGTTTTAACATAGAGTCTGTATACTATTTTAGGTAAGAAATAGATATAATTTTTTCAAGTATAGTTTCTTAAATATAATTGAAGTCTTTTTAAAATATAAATTAAAATATTTGACGTTTTCAGTCTAAAATTTACATAGAATATTTTACCGCTGATTTCTTTTATTCCATAAGTAATGGTGCTGTGCATTATTTATGTTGTCATATTATTTATTGACCTTTCTGAATTATTTTTAAATTTATGTTCCAATGTCGAGTTTTTAGTGTGTGCTATAATATTATTAGTTCAATATTGAATTTATTTAAATAGTTGAGATAAAATTGTTTTTAGCAATATGTCTTAATAGCCAACTAAAAAATTTAATTTTAACCTTACATATAATTTCGACAATTACTTTATTATTACGTATTAATCACGTAAAAAATAACAATCTAAAGATTATTTGTAACACTTGTATTGTAAGTTTAATAATAGCTTTTATCATTAAAATTATTCCGATCATAAAATATAATATTAAGTACTTCGAATAAAAATGATTAAATTTCAGAATTGTCCATGCAATTCAATATTTCAATGCTTAATTTTAAATATTAATGCTTAAGAACATTCAGACTCAATTTCAATTTGTAAATCTATTAGTTTTATACATACATAAACATTGATAAAGTTTTTTTTTACATATATTATTTTAAAGGATCAAATATGATCTTAAATATTAAGTAAAAATTGTCTGTCATACCATTTTATTTAATTATTTTCTTCATGTATGAAATTTCATTTTTTTCTTTTTGTTTTCAAGCTAAAGAAATATTTTACACATTTCATATAAACTATTAATTTGAGTAGGAATTTTTGAACTTTTCTTAAATTTTTAATATTCTTAGACATATTTTGTATCTTAGAGGAATGTAGAAAAATCCATAAATTATTACTTATAATAAAAATCCTACAATACATAGAATAGTTTGAATATATTACTCTAAGACCAATTATTATCTGGATCGATTAAATAGTCTTGATATTAGGTTATAAATTATCTAGAAATTAATAATAACGATGTGCATTATGTCAGTATAGATACAAAAATTAAATGCGCGCAATAAAAGATTAAATTAAAACATTGAAATGTAACAGATTAGAAAATCAATTTGTAAAAATTAATTATTTTTTGGTGCCTTTTTTTTTCTTTATAGAAATAAATATAATTTATAAATCGGTTTATTATGAGTGTATAATATAAATTATAATATAATTGTACATATACTCAAATTCAGATATTTGTATATCTTTAATTATTCAATTGCTCATGTTTTTTCTCTCGATGGAAACGTACTATTTCTTAACAATAAAAAAAAAAAAGAAAAAAAGATTTCAACTTCTCAATTTTGTCAGCAATTATTGTGAAAACATCTATCTTATTTGAATATTAGCTTGCAAAGTTATAAATAGACGCTGGTAAATAAAAATAAATATTAATATTAAAAATTGTTTTATACTCGAGGCTTCGTTCTTAAATTTATAAAAGTATAGAAATTTATAATATTTATTCCCTACGGCACTGAAAACGAACGCATTAACGACTGAAAGCAACGAATGTTCGCTCCTTATAAGTAAATATTTCATCATTTTGCCTAATATCGTACAGATTTAATGAACAACGCAGGAAAGCTCAGGCTAGTGATTTCGTATGTTGATGAGTGTCAGCTCTCGTCGTTTCGGGGCCTCTTTTCTATAAATACTGAAAGTCGGCGAGGACCGCCTTGGTAATTAGCAATCGGTATCGTGGCGTCATTAACGAGCTTAAATAAATCGTTTAAACGAATTACAGTCGCGAGCGCGGCATTGCACATCTTTACACTCGGTAATGCAACTTCGGGACGTGGGATTCGTAATGGATGAGGGGTGCGGCGTCCCATTCCTCGAGCTCTTCGTTCGACTGGACGGCTCGTCGAGGGCTGACCAGGAGAATGGAGCCTCTACTGGGACTACTGGGTGCAGACCTGCAGGCACCCTGGAGTAGTCCTTGCTTGCCGGGGTGAAGACCCTTATCGCCTAGTCGGGAGTAGTAGCCGCCGGCCCCGTTTTCTTCCTTCTCGTCCTCTTCCTCGTGCTCGCGAGCCTCGGGTAGGAGAACCGGGACGCTACCAGTTTCCAGCTGGGGTGCGAGCTTAAGATGGACGGCTACAGGTAGACGTAGTGGAAGCGACGTTTCGCCAATTTGCTCGACGCACGGGCACGAGCTGCTCGACGACCTGTATTCGACGGTGAGAAGGGACTTTTACCTTTTGGCTTTTACAGTGCTGGTGGCTTATTTATTTGTTAATTGTATAAGATTATAGGGGAATTTATTTGTGCAAGAGACTATTCATTGGTAATTTGAGAATCGATCAATTTTTCTGTTGACTATAGAGATCGATGTGATTTGAATTTTAATATTATGTCGGCGAGCAACGTTGTAATCCCGTTTTCTTCTTCATTTTTTTTTTTTTTTTTTTTTTTTTTTTTTTTTTTTTTTTACAAAAGTACATCAATTTTTCCCCTATGGCAATGTTTCCGATCTATCCGATTTTAAAACTAAAAGTTAAAATTCTTTATCGTAACTTGCGCGTTTTCATTTCTAATTTTTCATCGCGCTATATAACGTAAAATTAATATTTATTAGGATGAAATAACGATATTATTGCATTTAACATTGTAATACGGTAATCGTCCGTTAGACGAATTTTAAAGCTTAACGAATTTCATGGAATAAATCGCGACATCTCGCAGTCCATGGCTTATTAATCGCAAGCCGAATAATTTTATCTCTCGAACAATTAAAATGTCGATATAATAGTAAATAATCGAAATAATCGTTCGACGAATTTTCTCTCTCAAACGTCAATTACCAAATATCTGGAGAAAAAAAAAAAAAAAAATTTTGTTCTTAAAATTCCATTACTTTGGCGATTACGAAGGATTACGAGTAACGAATTTCTTAAAGCTTTTGGCAAAACCATAAATAGCTTGTCAAAGTCGTGAAACATTGGTGAAAAAATTCGAAATCGATAAGATGGAATGTGTAGAAAGAAAGGTCGAATTACGTACGATCGATGTCTCGATTAAACAATAATACCTCGTGCCCTCCATGCAGGATGATCTGCCGGAGGAACACAGTCCACGGCCGTTGCAGGGGCTTCCATCGGCGATGGACTCGGGCTTGCCTATGTCACCGGGTCGCGCAACCTTGGTCGCCTGGTCGAGGTGGTCCGAGCTGGCGAAGCGCAGCCTCTTGGGCGACTCGCTCGAGCATCGCAGGAAAATCGTCCTCGCGAGGGATTTGTTCTTGAGGGAGCTGCGAGGCGCGGATAGCTCCTCGTAGGCGCTACACTCCGCTCCGGGCGCCAGTCCCACTCGCCTATTGAGTCGCTCGCGGTTCCGCTCCTCCCGCATGCTCGGCTCCTCGCCGATCAGCCAAAAGGTCAGACGCTCACCCTTGCCCTTCATCGGCACAAGGCCTCGCTCGGCCAGGCTGAAGCCACCCAGTTGATCGAGCAGCAGCTTCGTTTCCATGCTGCAGTGGATGCGCAGCGCTGCCCGTTCAAATACATTTTGTTTTATTTAACGGCACATGCTATTTAATAATATTTGGGACTTAAGCACCGCTAATCTTTTGTGGCTCGATATTATATCGATGATGGATGCCCGTATGTTAGACGGTATTTAGCCGAGGGGAGAGGAGTTTATTTATCGAACGAACATACAATTTCTTAAAACTTATCTCGTTATTTTTATGACTTGAATCTGCTGTCTGTACGACAGGTCAATTTTTATGTATTTTAACGATAGTTTATAGTTAATGGAGCGTATTCCATATTTAGGACGATCATTAATTATAGGCCAAATTGTGACATTGTTTTAACGTAATAAATGCAAGGTGGATCGTTGTAATTGCAGTTAATAACAATATACAAACCCTTAATAACAAATTATGCCGTTTATAATAGAGATTTTTACTATTAAGTGACTAACGATCGAGATATCATTGGCGATATCGATGTTGTTTAATCAAGACATTAGTTGTTCATGCAACGCCGGTCTGGTGCAGTACTAATAATATTAGTAAACTTATGTGATTTTTGTTTCATTATTAGAAGGTGGGATTTTTATTTTATTTTGTTCTCTCTTCTCTCTTCTGTCATTGTATTTGGTGAATAGGACTTACGCGAGCCTGTGGATTCCATTCGACTGGCCGTATTAACAGTATCGCCAAATAAACAGTAGCGTGGCATTTTGAGACCCACGACACCAGCGCATACAGGTCCTGAAGGAATAGAGAAACAAGAAAAGATGTTACTGAAACTGAGGTATTTTGAGGTTCGAGGTTAAGCGATAGTATGAAGAAAAACGTGTTCTATGGGCCTGAAAATTCAAGCATTATAAAGGCTATTTATCATTTTCTTTCGAGCCTTCATAATTAACGAATAATTTATAATTATACCAGAATGTATTCCAATTCTTAATTGTAATTTATCTAAAGGCCTGTGACGAATTGAAAATTGTTTTATAGCATCCAAAAGACACAATGACATGCTTGCTATCTCTCCCGCGTGTTGAATTCCATTTCTAATGGGCAATCCGCTTACCTATAAATATAAAATGCATTTAAATCCATCGAATTGCAATTTATGAAATTAGGCGCCATTAGTCCATTTTAGCATTATACTTACAACCATATAAGCATCGCCAATTGTTTCGACTTTGTAGACGTCGTAATTTTCAATTGTAGAGTCGAAATATGTGTAAAGGTCGTTCAGGAAATCAACTACCTATAGATCAAAACTGAACTTTAACCGTTTAATTTTAATTAAACATTGTTTCACGTAGATTGGATAATTGATTTATTTGAATAAAAATTTAATTACCAAATTAATCCATGTACTTTTATAAATCATGAATTTGATAAACCGTTAATTATAGTCGTAACTAGAAATTCTTAAAGTACAATATACTATTTTATACAATATGTGTCTTTTATTTCCAAACGCTGATCAAAGTTATTATTAAGTTTATTTATTACCGAATGTAAATGAGGCACATTGTTTTCCGACAGAAAACAAACACACACAAACACACACGCACACACGCACACACACACACGCACGCACGCACGCACAAACACACACTTTCAATCGCTCATGCACACTATGGGGTCTGGAGCTTTTCCATCTCTAAAAAGCCTCTAATTGGCGGCTGACGGTTACCTGAAGGGGGGTGCTCTCGGCGGACATGGCGGTGAAGCCGACGATGTCACTGAAGTAAATAGTCACGCAGTCGAAATTCTCGGCTTCGACTTTGTGGCCGCGCTTCAGCTGTTCTGCCACATAACGCGGCAGCATCTCGTACAGCAGGGCGTCTGCAAGTCAACAAGCTACATCGATCTTCCCCCGTTGTTACATCCTCCCGTTATACGCGAAGTTGAAAGTAAGGTTGACTCTGCAGTCGGCTTGGCTTTTGTTTTATTTAGACGAGAGGTTGGGAATACGCGAATATGCGAGTCTACAGTTTTCTTTATATGATGAAAGCGAAAGGTCGTTGCAACTACAGCAATACCGACATTTTCACATAAAATCGATACGTTTAACGGAGAGAGAAAAACAACAATAAATAATCACGCGACCGATAGTCCAATGCCATTGCCAATGCCATTGCCAACGAGTCCTTTACGTAACGTAAAACTTGTCCGGTGCTTCGACAGCTAATAATTAATTTGACTATAATATATATATATATATATATATATATATATATATATATATATAAAGCAACAACAACAACAACAACAACAACAACAACAAATACAAAGAAAGAGAATCCTCGGATGCATCCTTGATTAATCAAGTTTATCAGAGCTCGCCATAAAGTATTTAAATTCGTGTTTCTTAATGTCTTAATGCCAGGCGTACCAGTTTTCTTTTTCTCTTCGGACAATTGGTCGGTTCGCTCGTCGACCAACGCTTCCAGATTATTAGCATACTTTTCCATCATCGCCATCATATTATCAAAGATGTTTGGCTTCCTGAAATTATTCCAACATCGACCCGCACGAATTAGCACGCTAAACAAAGAAATTGCTTTGCAAAAATCCTCGGAGCTACACTCACATGCCTTTTCGCAGTGGTCGCAATTTACCTCGGATGACTTTGAAATCGGGACGAAGCTCCGGATTCTCCGACCAGCATTCCACAAGACAGTCCCTAACAAAGTCAAAGCAGTTTTCCAGCTGATCCAGCGGTGGTCTGTGAAAAATGATTTCTCCAATTTATCACCCATACGATGCACTACGAATTCGCAACGTCCGCGCGGCGAGAGTACTTAAACGTATAAAAGTGCTTGCGCCGCTTGAGGCGCGACACGCTTTAGGATAGTAAAATTATGGACGCGAGGGTACCGGAATAAAGGGGCGCCTTCCTCGATGCTTATGATTTTCTTGAGAATATCGGGGGCGGACAAGTCGGTGATGCCGTAGGGCCCGTGTCTGCCCTGGAGTTCGTAGAGAACGATGCCGAAGGAGTAGACGTCGCTCTTCTGGAAGTCCCTCAGCGACGGCTCGATCGGCTTCGAGCGCAGCAGCTCCGGCGCCTTGTACAGCAGTCCTGCAAGTTCGGCTCGCTTAATTAATTCCATTGTGTCCACCTCGTGGACGTAGGATTTTCATGGCGAGCGCGACGAAGCTCGGGGTCTTTAGCATTAATAACGCTATAATAAATGGACGGGGAGGCCAAGTACTTTCGTGCCTTACCGCGATACTTCTTCATGACGTCGACGGACTCGAGCTCGGAGTCGCGTTTAAATTCGTGGAGCCCGAAATCTGCCAATTTAACGACCCAACGCGAATCCACGAGGCAGTTGGATGTGCTGAGGGAGCCGTGGAATTTTATGACGGACTCGTGAAGGTAAATCATGCCCTGTGGAAATAATGGCGCTGGGTGAAACGAACGGATAAATTTACAACTCTTTTGCATTCTCCGCACAATTCCGTAGAGCCATGCATTGCTCGTTAATTCGTTTATGTGAAAAAAGCCATACGGATAACGAAATTGAATTTGAAATATCCATAAATAAATGGGCTCTTTTACTCACTCTCATGATGTCGCCTACCAACGATGCCATGAACATGTTATCGAGCTTAATATCTTCGTTTTCTAGAATGTCCTACAATTAACGAACACCATCATAATCATCATCATCATCATCATCATCATTATCAATATTGTCAACGTAATCATTATCATTATCATTATTAAGCATTATTATTGTTATTATTCAATAGTATATTACGAATACGGCGTCGTAAATATTTTAGTCCATTAATTCATGGTTGTAATAAACGATAAAAATTGAGAGGATTGTATGTCCAAGTTAAGTAAATGACTCTATCGATTAAATATCATATTACATACAATGTTCTCTCCTAATGGCATTATTGCGTCGAAATTCTCAAAGTTTCATATTTCTCTTGTTTGCTCGATTTAAAATATGCATGCGTAGCATCGCATAGCACTTTGTGAAAAATTTAATCTCTTATTTTAGATCTTAAATCAAGTTGTGTGAAACAATTTTTTTTATTTTCTTTTATTTTTTATTTTTTTTTATGATAGTAACTAGATAAAAATTAATCTCGTTGCTTTGTCAAATGAGCGTATTTCAATTATAAATTAAACGAATAATTATCATTAGTGCTCAATTTCATGCTCTTCCTACTTCTGTCTGCAATTTGCAATTGCCTAACTTTCATTATTATAAATTAATGCGCCTATGTCCTTCTTAATCTACAAGAAATATTTTTATATGAATATCTTCATTAAGCGAGTGATGCTGTCGAGGGGGATATCTTAATAATAATGAATGGTAGCTGTACCTTTAAGCTTCCACGGGCACAGTACTCGACGACGATGCAAATATTCGGTGGATCTGTGCAAGCTCCAATGAAAGCATTCAAATTATCGTGCCTTAAGTCTCGCATCTGTAACATGAAATTTACCGTCCGAATCTCTGTCCTTTTGTGGTGAATTTGTAATTGATTCACAACTGATTAAATGATATTTTTATTTACAATTTTCAATTCCTTCTTCATTTCTCGAGTGATTTCTATTGATTTTTTCTTCACCTTCTTTACAGCGAAAATGCGACCTTTATAGATTCCCACTTGCGTGTAAATCATTGAGTAGCGAAAGTCAGCGTCAGGGTTCGAGCTGAGAGACGCTTGACTAGTTCTTACGTGTGGTTGACATGGATTCTAAAATATATACGTCAATTTGCTTAATGTCGAAATTTTTAGTAATATTTTTCGAATAATGATGGTAGGTATGAAAAACGTGAAAATTAGACAAGTACAACAAAATTAGATGCAAATTATAATGAAAATTACTTATAATTATAAATTTAGTAAATCAAGTAATTCTTCTAATTTAGTAGCATTTCTTCAAAAGACATTTTAAAGGAATAATAAATAAATAAATATATACTATTTTCAGATAATTTTTTAGTAGTCTCGATAGATTTTGAGATATTCTTCAATGAATTACCGTGTGTCTGGTGCTTCAAAGAGAAGATACGAAATTAAAAAATGAATTAAAAAAAAAAAAAATAAATAAAAATAAATATAAATATTGAATTGTTATTGGAAATTTCTTATTTGTTAAATTTACTTGGTGCAATTTTCTGACAAGTTTTCATCATTATTGAATGGATATTTATTATGTTTAATTATACATTAGAATACGTTTATTTATAAATTATAAGCAATATGTTAGTGAATACGAGTAAATAAAGTTACTCCTGACTAGTAAACACTATATTCCAAGATGCCATTGAAATTTGTGTTAAACATTTGCAAAATGTGCTTTCCGCTTCTATAGATTTTAGTGTAAAATATTATAAATTTTTGTCAACAAGTTGATAATATTATCAATTTTATTTCAACATATTTTATATAAATATTCAATGAAGGAAACGAAGAATCAACTATAAATTATTAATAATAAGTATTATGAAATCGTAGTAAAATATTCAATAAATGATAAAATTCTGACTGAAATAATACTATATGAAGCGAAATTATCTTATGTACTATTATGATAAAATGTCGCTTAAATATTCATTTACTGATGTATTGGTTGAATTTTTTTTTTTTTTTTTTTTTTTTTTTTTTTTTTTTGAAGCAAGTGTAGTAGTAACGCAATTCTTGTCCTGTATAGAAAATAATTAAATGTAATAAATATTGGATGTGAATATATAAAATTATGTGTTATTTTTTGTTTTAAATTGTTGAATATTAAATAAAGCAGGAATATTCAGTTTAATGCACATTAAAGTAATTTATAAAAATATTATTAAATTTATTTTTAATGTATGTGAATTTTAGGCGAAGTTTCTGTTTGAATGACTTTTATAAAATTATCTAGTAATTTATAAAGTTTTAATGTAATATATCAACGGAATTTCGTAAAGTACTTAAGTACTTTTATGATTTATGATGTTGGAAATGAATTATTTAAAAAAGTCGTTGCTATATTCTCTTGAAACTTCGTAAAATTATAGATAAGACTAGAACACTTGGTACATATTTTTTATATCTGTAAAAATCAAAGTAATTTTGAATAATTTTTTAATTTTTATATTTATTATTCAACCAATATTGATGTTTGGCGTTTACAGTCACCATAATGTGCATTTCACTTACTAATCAATTTAGATTAATTGCTATAGATACACTCGATTAGGTAATAATTTAATAAAACCTTTGAATTATTTTTGAATAGTTGTTCGCCAGTAGTTGCTGAATCATCTTTGGTTTCTTTAATCTCAATATCTTTGTAATTGACTTTCCATAGCAAAGAATCGAGTTCTTGTTCATACTTCCAATTTCTATAAAGAATCAGAGATATTGCAACGAACACTAATAACAGTCCGCCTGTGATTCCACCAATAATTTCACCTGTGTGGGCTTAGTATTTGTAAAATTATTTTCAATATTCCTATAATTGATTTTCTGTAATATCAATATTAATATACTCTCGGGTTCACTACTTTAAAAGGTATACAAATTGAAAACTACAACATTAGAATTGAAAAGTTTAATTTAAAATTTCGTTTTGAAAGGTATTATTTCTAAAAGTTTATATAAATAAAAAATACATTCCCATTGATTGGCAGTCTTATGCAATGAGAAAATACAGGAGATAAACAACCAAGTAAGTGATTACGAGTAGAGACAAATGAACCATAATCAGTTGATTTCTGTGCTTTTACCTTTTCTCTTATATTTTCATTTAAACGCATGTAAATAATAAATGATATTGTAATTTAAGAACTTACGTAGCTATATTTATATATAATAGAAAATAATATTCTAAAAAGTCTAAAAATTTTATCAATAAAACTCTTGAGTAATCGTTTTAAGCAAAAAAAATTTAAAAAAAAAAGAAACTGTAAAAAATACTTTAATACAAAGAATATTTTATATTAAAATAGATACAGATGAGTTTATTAATTTTTACTAACACTCATATCAAAATCAGATCAAGATAAAAAAAAATAAACATTACTTATATTCATTTGATTTTGATATCGAATTTTCCTTTTAAAACTGTTGTACAAAATCTACTAATGATAATGTATCTTGGTCTAGTAATTCTTAAAATCTTTTATTCCAATTTAAAATTGAAATTTCATTCTGAGTATTTTGCAAATAAATCAAATTAAAATATGTTGAATTGATATAAAAAAAAAATACCAGATAAATTTCTTGCATATTTACAATAAATGAGTTTTTTTTATGAAATTGAGACATCTATGGCGATAGTACACTGGTTAGTAAAATATTAATTTTTTTTTTATTTAATCTTTTGTTTTTTCGAGTTTATATAAAATAACTATGAATAGTGGAGTAAAAATAGAAAAGTAACTTATTATTTTAATAAATGATATTATTTATTCGTTGGTAATTAGGAATTAAGAGATTAGAATAGAGTTTTGTAAATCTTGGTAAAAGGATTTATGTAAAGAAACTTGATGATAGCAAATGATATAATTTTATAATTTTTCTGAACTCATATTCCCAATAAGTTGAATTAATTAGATCGACATAAGTAGAAAAAGTCAAAGTCACGTAAGACTGGTTTTTACAGATAAGTGGAAAGTATTTTTAAAAATTATTTTGAGATAAATTTTATAAATTAAAATATACTTAATACTAAGATATATAAAATATAAAATATTAGAAATATTAAGCATTTGTAATAAAATTTATATTCGTTTAAATTATCATCTTGACTTCATGAATTATTTTCGGATTACAGATTGATTTTCAAATTGCATTAAATGCATAATCAGTTTATTAAAAATAGAAATATTCAATTACTAATTCATAATTTATATTATTTTGATATACAAATTATTATAACATACGTATTTTAATACTATCGGCAACACTTTTATTATTATATTTTATTTGACAATATAATATATTACATAACAGTTACGTATCATTTTAAAGTTTATATTATTCCGAAAAATAGTTAATAATAATTAATTTAATAATAATTAATATATGATTAAAAAATAATATATTAATTTTAAATATATTATTCTTATAATATTTAAATTATTATTAAAATTTTGTATTATTGACAATAAAAAATATTTTTTTATATTTAATCAACATTTATTAATGTTCATGTTAATAAGACCTTATAATATATGTATTAATTATTATAAATATATTTTTATTTTCTATAAATAGGTTATGTTGTTATTGTATGATCAATGAAAAAATAAACTTGAAGATATACATTGAAAGTTTACAAATCCCTCGAGTGTTTTGTAAAAAAGCAAACTGATGGTGTGTCAAAGAGATTGCAGGTTGATAAAGAAATAAAAAATACATAAAAAATAAAAGAGAGATAGAAAGAGAGAGAGAGAGAGAGAGAGAGAGAGAGAGAGAGAGACAGCGAAAGAAATTATAATATTGGGAGTAATAATAAAAAATGTTTTTTAACGCTTACAAAAAAAAAACGTAAAACTTTTTACGCTTTATTACTTATATGTTTTGAAAAATGCTTGAAATTGTTACAGAGGCATTTGTTTTCATTTTTTATTCATTATCAGTGACGAGTCTCTTAGACATTATACATATACAAATGCTTTAATTTTCAAATCAATCCTTTGTGTATATATATATATATATATATATCTATTCTATATATATATATATATGTATATGTATATATATTCTGTATATATATATATGTATATATATATATATTGCGTATATATTATCTATTTATTTATCTATTTATTATTAAATCATAAGTAGCTTCATTTCGCTTTATTTTTACTTTTGAAGTTATCGTAATGTGCATCAAAAACAATATAAATTAATTTTGGTCGAGTTATATAACTGTTAAACATATTTAATATTAATTATTCATGTTATTTTCGGTAATAACCCTACTTATTTAGTAATGTTAGTCTTACTTAGGTTATTTTTGAATTTATCTTATTGTTTTGCTGGCAGTAAAAGGTTTCATCGTCGATGAAATTACATTTTCTTTTTCGAGATTTTATCTATAGCCATTGCCGAAATTGCATTTCAACTCGAATACATAATATGCGTAGAGCACATATAGATGTTTCTTGGTGAGAAGTACGTGTGATAATGTTGTAAGAAAAAGGGAGAGCGAAACAGATGCGTTAGGGAACTCAAATTAACGAGATCGTATTTGCGAGAGGCCACGTAAAATGTCTTGTAGGATGAGTGACGAGAATCTTATTTTCTTCTCCTATAAGTGCCTCGAAAAGAGGCTAATTTTCGCCTGTGGGGAATATACGGGCGAGTAAGTACGAGTAAAATTAAGTGGGCAGAGTGAAAGATTCTATTTTGGCACCACACGTTGACTTTGTATTATACTCGTAACATATTTCTTCTTACAAGTTAAGAAAACAATGGCTATGCCTAAATAGTACTGTTTACGTTTCAATAATGTCGATGTTTTTTTGTTTTTTTTGTTTTTTTTTTTTTTTGCGAGAGCCGTCAATTTAATGTTTGGTAAAAGTAAATATTTCTACCGATACAGTTAATATTCAATATAATAAAATAGTTTCTTTAAAATAGTGATTGTGGTAAGAATAAAGTTTCTAAATTTTTATCTGAAAATCGTTTAATTGTTTAAATAATTCTTGTTTTTCTTTATGAAATTATTTATTCTTAAAGATGGAGAATGTTCTATAATTAGATAAATTATTGGATCTGTATGAGCTATTATATTTACAACTCCCTTAATTTTTTTGTCATTGTCAAAATTCTCTATATCCGTAATGTATTTATTGCTTTTGTACTTTTATCGTTAGACTTTATTATATTATTCCTCGATTATTATCACTTTTATCAATGCGATGTTTTGAAAAATATTTCAGCTATATTGACTTAATAACGTAGCTCAATATATTTTTTTTTTATAGAAAAATTTCCTTTATCTAACTACAGTACGATTAATAAAATAAAAATAGAATATTGAATGTAATTTCATGTACAAAATTAATAGATGTGAAATATATAAATAATTTTTATTCTATTAATCGTACTGTTGTTAAATAAAGGAAATTTTTCTACGAAAAATAGTTTACCAACGTTAAGTCAATCATTATAGCTGCAATATTATTCGAAACATCTATAGTACATCATTGGTAGAAATAATGATAATTGATTTAAAAAGAAAAAAAAATATTAAAAATAATGTATGAAGTACAAGAGAAATAAGTTATTTCTGCGATCAATATTATTGTATCGAACGGAAATGTAACATTTGCAAAACATTTCAGTATTTAAAAAGAAAAAATATTGTGTCGGATGTTATTGTCATATGGACGATTCGATATTAGTAGAAAATTTTTTTATTTTCCTAGACCTTAAATTCCATTATGTTGCCACGTTTGTATTATGGATGTATTAAATGGATATATTAAGAAATATTTTATAACAACGTTTATGTTTAATAATAAATTATTTTACGTACAATAATCTGAATAATTGAAATAATATGTATGAGCATTATACGTAAAGCAGACGAGGACATTTTAATAAGTCTGTAGTTAATAAGTTTTATCAAAAATAAAATGAATTTGTTTAGAGATTTGATTATTTTGAGAGTAGATGTATATATATATATATATATATATATATATATATTTTTTTTCAATTTTATAATAATAAATTGTTGTTGTTGTCGAAACTAAGCAATGACTAACTTTCAAGTTTATAGCATAACAATTTATAATATTATAAAATTTAAGACATTTTATATATTTTACTTCATTAGAATAAAGCCTATTTTAAGCGCTTTTCTTAATAAAAAATATTTACAAAAATAATTATTACTGGACGGGTATAATAGAAGGTTTTAAAATAGTTGTTTTTTTTCTTTCTGTAAAATATGCATAAACCATGATATTCATGTAAATTATATGTAAATCAAATTCGTTTAATATTGACTTCATATATAATTATAAAATTAAAAAAAAAAAAAAAAAACTTTGAAACTCGCTAAAATTGATGAAAAAAAAGTTTTAAATATTTTATTGAATTTTAACATATCATTAAACGTCATTTCATACAGCACATTTGAAATAATTGGCTAGATATCTGTAAATGTTTTGAAACAAATAAAAATAAATCAATCGCACAATGGAGGATATTTTTAGCATTTTATATCTTCCGTAGTAATATTCTGAAGAAGTTCAGATAAATTTATGGGAACGTTTACGTGTATTTAAATAAAAAAATACAAGTTGTTATTGATTAGCTCTTACTGTTTCAGTCTGTATATGTAATGGCAGGTATTTTATCATTTCATGATAAAATTGTTTTATCTTAAATTTTGATAAATAAATCATTTAAAAATTGAATCCTTTTTATACAATGTTAATATATGAATATATAATTTAATATAAAGACGTTGTAGTTTTCAAGTTAATACTAATTAACTAGTGACCTATCGCTTTGGTATATAATATTTTTCAATTATCAATATATACTTACAATAACATTTTTCCCCGTGATAACCGCAGTAAGGCTCATCGACTGGAGGCTTATCACCGACCCAAGGAATATGTCGAATAGTACGTAATTTCTGTAATAAAATTATATGTACATGCATTTATGTATTCATGAATTTTATGAATTTCAATAAAATTGAATATAATAAGACACGTGGATAGTTTAAACGAAGATACGGGCAGTCACTGAGTTAGTGGATAATTCGTCGAGAAGAGGAAGAAAAGTCTTGACTTTATTTGCAATCAATTCACGTCGCAATGTATTTCATGAACTATTCTATAAGACAATTATTAATGCATTTTACAGAAGAAAATTAGCGAGCGAATAATTTTAAATTAGTAACTGTGGAATGAATGACCAACCGATCACCAATTGATAATCAACATTTTGTAATTGTGAAGTTGTTGTTAAAGTGATATAAGAGAAATGCCGGAAAATAGAATATTTAGCCATATAAATTTAGTTGATTATAATAAGGTTAATACAATGGAGAGATACATACACATTTAATATAATAATTTATATTTTAGGAGATTGACTTTGAAGTAATAAATTAATAGGCGTAAAATTAAAAAAGTTTATTGTTAACAAAATTCGATATGTCAAAGGGATTTACAAATTTTATACAAAGTATTATTAATAGAGAGAACTTAATGAAAGTATAACAAGCAATTATTTTTTAATCGAAAAATGATTACGATACTCAAGATTTATCATTTTATGAATTTGTACAATAGAATCAAATTGACTAAAGTGAACGAATAAATTTGAATTTCACATAAATCTGAATATAACTTATATAAGAGCAATTCATCTGATAGAAGAAGGATGCAGACTGTTATTGCGCATTCTCTTACGCGATGCAAATCGAAATTTATACGAAGTAGTAAAGTTATAGCATAAAACGAATGGATAAGTAAAAAGATGGCGCATCGTCTTATAAAATAAACGTTTAAGAATATTTTAAATGAATATTTAAGGAGAAAATAATGTTGATTTTCATTGGTATAAAGGATTATTGGTTTACAGCTGATAAATTGTTCTTAATTTAATATTGAATTTTGGATTTAAATGAGAATTGGCATTTCAAGGAAGCGAGGTGGCAACCGTTAGGTTGTTCTAAACATATTCGAGTAAAGTTTGCATACTCGGTAATTGTTGTATCTAACCGGTAGGTTTGTGCCGTTCTCCTTGCCGATGAAACGGCCAATGGGATACAGTCCGTGACCTTTTGAGACCTGATTGTCCAGTGCTATCAAAGTGTAATTGCCCTCCGGGTCACCGTCTTCATCCATGTACACCATATATCTAGTCAATAGACAAACAAGGACTAACTGTTATACGGAACTACGAGGTTTCTCATAACCCGTTTTGTTTCTTCTTGGCGGTAAGCGTTGTTGGTAAGCGTTGTCGGCTAACTTTACAATTTTCAGTAGTATTATGATTTCTAAAGCTGTTATTGAAACTTTTATCGTTTATAAAATATAAGAGTATAAATAACGGTTTGAATTTATTGTGATTAGAAGGAGCGGTTTAAGGCAAAATATATGTTTCAAGGATTCAGGTATTACATTCAATGTACATGCTTATTTTTAAATTTCATTAATCGTTGCGACATCTATTAAATATAAATTTTACTGAGCACACACTCATGATACGTAAGCATCGTAAGTTAATAAGATAACAGAATTTTCTTGCATATTTATTGTATTAAAATTTCTTTTAAAAATAAATTGTAAGCTAATTAAATGTTCATCAAAACTTGAAAATATTTTAATATTTCATGAACATTATTATCTAGCCCTATCAATAATAATTTATATATATATTTTTTTTATAGTTCTAGTTTTGTTATGTAGTCTTGTCTCATAAAAGCATTCCAGAAAGTAACAGAAAAAAAAGCATTGAATGTAATATTATCAAATTTCTTATTACATAATAGATAAAATTGAAACTTAAAATATCGAAAAAACTGTACGAGAAAAGATAATTAATGTTCTAGAGAATATTGGATCTTAATAAATTTAACGGTCGACACATGTTTTACTGTGAAATTTCAAATTCTTTTTATCTTTCACGTGGAAAATATTATGCTGGCGTGTTTAATGTTCAAATTCAGTTCAAAGTTAAAAATGATAATAAATCTTCAATGGGAAATTTTACGAAAATTATCAAATTCTATCTTGGCACACAGTTTTATAAGAAAACTAATATAAGTTTCAATACAAAATTATCTTTTTTATATAGTGTAGGTAAGAAATATGAATTTTATGCAACGATGTAACATTTATTATAAATATTTGAAATATATATATATATATATATATATATTGGTATGTTATGTTGGGAAGCATCTAATTTACATATAAAACCTCCCTATATTATTACACAAATGAATTTTCTACAATTTTTAATTTTATGCTCCTCTTATGTAATTTTTTATGCTTTATTTTTTCAAATTGGAAAGAATATAGGATCACAATTAAAAAGAAAATACGGCACTCACATTAAAATATATAATTTTTAAAATTTGGCGTCGAAAATAATTCAATAGCCGAATCGTATTTTACCGTTTTTCTTATCGTTGGCACAGCTAATCTGAAATCGCTCAAAAAACCTTTGCTCAAGCGCTATAAATATCTTTTCTAAACTTTAATTACAGAATGGTAGCAAAGTATGAACTTGCTTGAATTAATTAAGAGAATAATGAATTTTTTTTTTTTTTTTCTAATTGAACATTTCTAATAGAGCAGCACAAGCAATTTGAAAACAATGTAAGCGCTGTGTAAGCCGATTTAAATCCAAAGTAAAATACCTTACCCCATCGCGCTGCGATAATGAAGTCCATAAAGTGAAGAAATAATCTCTTTACCGTTTCGTGGATCTCGGCCCTCATCGAGTGCCTTAATAAGACTTTGCGCGTAAAGGTGGATTGAGTCGTAGAGGTATGCAGTTTCCGGTACGGCCTGCCTTGTAGCGTAACAAAAATGAGGATTCCAGTAGATGAGTCTTATTCAATTCCGAGACTTTATGTATACTGTTTCAATTTTTCAATTGTAATGACTATGCGTAAGTAGAAATCAAATAATAATAATTTATGTTTGAGGAAGCGATTGTACAGATGGAGATTCATATTATATATTTAATGCTGTTTAAGCAATTACGCAAAAGCAGAGCATTCAAAGCTTTTGAATTTGAATTTTTTAATTTGGAGCTAAAAAAGGTCTTTGATAGTAGGATTGTTGGATTCAAATTGAAATTTCAAGCGATCATTTATTATCGATTAGATGAATATTTTCAATAAAAGATAATTAGATTTAAAGAATTTTCAAATATGACTGTAAGGACTTCTTAGGCAATCAATCGCTCTAACTAGAGTTTATTGGTATTATCCGCCCCACTGTACTGACTATTCTTATTACGTAACATTACTATTTAAATAAATCTATTATTATTATTTTCAAGTCACCTGAATGTGGCCTTCCTCTTTGAAGGTCTTTAGTGGATTCTTGAAATTAAACGGTGGCTTTTGTCTATATTCGTTGACCTTATTAGTGAAGTTTAAGTAACCAATTGGAGCCGAAGCTATAACACTGAAATAACTTTGGAGGATTCGCAGGGATTGGGAATTGGGATATTTTTTCAGTAATCCACGAACATAAACATCTGGTTCACGATCGTTGTACGTTTCAGTGTTCACACCAACTACCCAATACTCCCCTGGAAGTAAAATAAAAACGCTCATATTATCATATAAAATTACACATTATTCGTCGATTATTCAAGTATAAATAAAATCATTAATTGTATTTATGTGGAATAGGATAAGGCTTCACCATTAAAGTCTTGCAAGTTTCCTATATTTATTTCTTACTCAGAACTAATTCTTGCAAATAAAATATATTGTATATAAAACTTATTCTGATCAATAGGTTGAAATAATCTTCAATCGATCAATTAATCATTCAATTTTAGTTTCGTTCATTATATTATGGTATAAAATGATATTTTTCATCGATTTGCTTTTTTAATGATTTATAATATTGTTACATATAAAAAAAAAAAAAAAAACGAAAAATTGGATAGTATTTTCATCGGTTATTTAATTATAACGCGGTAGAATGTTCATTAATTTGTTTGAAAAAGTTGCGTTAGAATTTGATGGTAAAACATATTTCTATTTCATTTAATGTTTCTTACATAGAGAAATCTAGTCTATTTCTTAAAAAAAAACTCTGACATAAAATAATTATCTATTTTATCTTTGCAAGAAAAAAAGAAAAAAAGAAAAAAAGAAAAAAAAAAAAATTTGTTATCCCAAGCATTAGTGAAAGGATTTTCAGGATTTTGTATAATATATTCATTTATGAAAATAGATACAGAACTTTAAAAGTATCCTATCGTATATTTTAATGAAAGTTGCGTCTTAACACAAAGAAATTTAGTTCTTTTATAAAATAGATACTCTAATTCTCATCGATAGAGTTGCTTCCTAATTAATGAAACTAATTTTATAAATCGCAAACTTTTAAAACTTCCATTAGCACGTCGTATCTATGATAATTTCATAATAATAATAAAGATTATTAATAATGTTAATGCGAAGGTAAATTTGTATTCACTTTAATGTTATTTATTTCTATTATCGAGCATAATGTAATGAGCATAGATTACCTGTTTTCAATAAATTTCTCTTATCTAACGCCATCAGTAGACCAATATGCTCTTCGACATTTCCAAGAATAACGTAAACTGAAATTAAAAATAAATCCATGATAAATTTTGAATATACGTGTTCTTCTATTGGCTTAATCGGTTAATGCGCATATAAAATAGACCACGTGGATCAGTGCTTAAATAACCTTTTTAAATCTAAAATTTCATGTTAATTTCATGCGAAATATTATAAATTTAATTCAAATATATTATTCGAGATGGTATTGCGCTTAACAAACGTGCCCATTTTGCTTTTCACAATTAATTGCCACGAAAAAATAATATCATATACCCGAGGATTGTTGAGCTCCAAACTCACATTCATTACACGTACTCCGTGTATATTTAGAAATTGTACGAAGAGAACGCATAGTAGAACTAACGGGATAATAATAGAACAAACAGTGTGATATATCAAAAGCATCACGATAGGTACTTAAAATACAATAGCAGCGAATGTTGTATTTTACGAATCATGCGGGCTTGTCCTCGTTCAGTTTCAATTTTATTTACATAAAATGTATTTGTCCATGCGTATAAAGTCTCGTTCGACTGAGCTGATGAACCTGCTAAGCTGATTTTCATTCGGAAATTTTTTTATCCATAAAGCTTGCGTGTCTCAGCCTATTGCCGACGAATTATATTACTATCGTTATCAAATTTATTAAAGACAAAATGAAGAGAAAGAAAACAGAAGAAGGAAATCGATTCTACTACCTACCACCTATTACCTGCCTCATTTCCATTAAAATACAAACCTGATGATAAGTAATTTCTAAACTATCGGACACTCTTTAGTTACTCATTAATTCATTAAGCTCGTTAAGCTCGAGAGAATGGAATGACAAGCTCCGTCTTCATTATGAAATATCATCGGAGCGATTCACTTCCGAGTCGCATATACGTTTAGCAAGCAGATAAGCACTCGGCAAAGTTCATACTCAAAAGCACCGAACTCGAGTGTTAAAGTCGTAATTGAGCGGAAACGCCCGTCATTTATTCTCATACATTGTACGAGCCATTCAGCGACACATGCGCAAGTTACAGTGTTACGGTTATAGAGCTTGCAGTTTACGAGGATCAAGACCCACGCATAGTCAATTAGGACAGAGAAAGCGATTATCCGCCAGTATAACCAGTGCGCGACATTAACAACCACATGGTACTCACTTCGCGTGTCAGCGTACGTCTCGGCGACAAGCTTGTGGAAGGGATTGTTCAAGTTTTCCACGACTCTGTACGACTCCTCCCAGCATTTGACACTGTTGAGTGTTATTCCCGCATAGCGGAACGAGGCGATGATCGTTTTCGCCACTGTCGGCATCTCGTAAAATTCGAAGCTCGAGGCGTTCATGAACATGAATGACACCTGTGGGCGAAGCAGAGAGCGGATTGAAGAGCTTTTCCGATCGATGGATCAGCATGGCTACTTACTTCGGCCATTTCTTCCCTTCAAATTTCTCGCTTACTTGTCGCGTATTATAACTATTGGATTATAATTTTTACCATTGCACTTTTCGAAACTCTATCTTTTTGTAAGTTTCGCTTCTAATGAATGAAAAAAAAAAAAAAAAAATGCAAAATTTTCTATTTATGTTTTTATTCTCGTTATTTATTCTATCAACTTTTAAATGGGCACTCGACATGACAATTCATAAAGCTATTTTTTATTCGAAATGCTGGCGCGTTCGTTCAAACACGAAGATTTAACGTACAAATAAGAAGAAATTTTACGTAATTTCTTCTTACGTATTAGAGATCTTGTCTTCTCAATCACCACAAATCTTTAAAAAGAAACAAAAAAAAGAAAAAAAAAACATTTATTACAAATAAAAAGGTTAAACACTCGCGTGCGATCTTCTAGATCGTTTTATTTCAGATCAAAATCTCCGGCAGACGTAAAATTACACGGAACTTAACTTTCAAACAGCCGAACTTTAAAAGTATACTATTCTGTATTTGAAGAAAAGTTATTTGTACGATTCAACTAAACAAAAAAAAAAAAAAAAAACAAAAAAAAAAAAATAAATAAATAAATAAATAAAAACAGAGGCGAACGGGTAAAATATATTAATTACGATTTCAATTTTTAAATTAGTTTCTTTGATCTCGATAATGTGAAAGCTATAGACTATAAATTTCTTTGTGTTATGAAATCATCGATCGCGTATGTAAACAAAAAAAATGCTTATTGACAATCATTTTTCTATATTAATAAGTTAAAAGTCAGTTTCTTTTGAACATATATTCATTCGACATTATTATCATTATTATTATTATTATTATTATTATTATTATTATTATTATTATTATATACAAATACAAAGATTTATTTTTGAATATGACAGTATTCAGTGTTCTTGTTAATATTTATATAACTACTTTTAAACAACATTGAAAATATTGTTTAAATATTGTTATAAAACTACGGCTTTTAATTTTGTATTTTATATGATAAATAGCCTTCGAAACGTATTAAATAATTTTTTTTCTTCACGTAATTAATATTCCATTAATGAATGATGTGCGGTATTATAATGAATTTACAAATTACAATTGCATGAGACAAGGCTCATTTCAGTGAAAAATTCACTCAAATTTCTTAACTATTCACAAAACCATTAATTGTGTTAATATTCTTAACGAAACTCAATTACGTCCAATTATGTGCTCTCATTGCCAATATTTTATTCAATATTTTGCTAATATCTACATAAATTTCCTATACACATACATAATTTTAAAATAAACGTACATTAAACTTTGATTATTTTTGGCAATGTGTGATTTAAAAATAAATTCGTTTTTAGTAACTTGAGTTAATTTTTATAAAAATAGCATCAATAAGTAAGACCCATCGAAATAACTTCTATGTTTTCTAAATTGTACTAAAGTTTTTCAATTTACCTGCCAACAAGTTGTTATATCTATTCTAAACTTTTATTCGCAAACTTCGTTTTCTCGCCTTTTAGATGCTTTTATTGTCGGAGTGAAAAGAGTTCAATACAATGAAATCGCTTCAGAAAATTAAAAGTAATAGAGTTTAGTTCGAAGATATTCTTTGTCCTTACCTTAGTCCAATTGAAAACTTTTAGTACTGCAACTACGGACTTGGAAATTTGAGTGTCGGGAGGGCGAGTGCGGGCAAATGTTGGAAATTCTTTTTTGTTGGAAGTCACTCGATTTGTGCAGTACTGAAATAACATTGCCAAGCTCTTTTTACACCTTAGCCGAATTATTATTATCACTTAATTCTAGAAATTATTATTTTATTCGCGAACATTTTGTAATTATTGCGTGAAATTTTTCGTAATGTATGAAATGTATATGTATTATTGTTTCACATCATATATATTATATTTAACATCTTATATCAATACATTTGTTTTATAAATTTATTTATGCATTTATCATATCTCACTTCTTTATAAGTGATTATAAATTATTTCGTTTAATGAATCTGAATTTATTGTCAGAAAAATCATTTTGATCATCAGTGAAAATTTTTCGCGTTGAAACTTGATATTATATCTCTTTAAAAACATAATTAAATATAAATAATAGAAGTATATTCATAATATGATTACGGGCTTAAAATAAAGTTACACAAATACATATAAATAGCAGAAGAAAAATTGTAAATTAAAAATAAGATAAGATGTGCTCTAAAATTGTAAAAAATTTGTATGTATATATTCAATCGTAGGTATGTTAAATTTAATGCTAAACTAATTCTAAAGTTATTCGATATAATAGAATTTCTATATAATCTGATGTTTTTTTATTATTATTCATAACAAAAATGACAATATAAGTTTTTAATATCAAGATATCTACGATTCGATTGAGAAATTAAAAATTAAATATCATAGCATTTAATTATACTAAACCATCATTAATTAAATTCGTCATTCAATTAATCATTTCATTAAATTTAAAAACGGCATATACATATATATATATATATATATATATATGTTGCATGCATACGTGTATGCATGTGTGTTTATATGCTATATCATTATATTTAGTTATGTATATAATAAACAAAATTATAATATTAGATAACTGGAAGATATTGGATTTTATTATGTTATAAAATAGTCGTAATAAACACATTGAATGTAAATTTCCTTTATTATAAATAAATATACATTAATATTATGAAAGTAGAAAAAGTAAGTTTAAATTATATAATTTGATTTATAATTTGGTCTAATATTATTAGAAATACGTTTTAAAATAATATTTTTTATCAAAATTAAAATTGAAAAATTGAGTTTTATATTAATTAAATAATTATAAAACAATATTTTAATTTATAATGGTTTATACTTCTAAATTTTTATAAGACCATTTTTTTTTTATATATAAATACTTTTATAAAAATATTTTATAATAATAACAGCAACATCTATTATTAAATATAATAGAATGACCATTATTTATAAGAAATATACCCGCTCAAGAGTATTATTATGTTAATCTAAAAAGAAATCCTGAGCATTTTGTATCGCCCACTTGAATTTAATAGAAAAATCTATATTTTTACGTTATACTGTAATAATTTTGCAACTTCATTTAGTTAGTCTGATATTTATTTTCATATCTAAAGTGTTAGCTTTATCTCATTATAAGTGACAAAATTTGGTATTTTATTTCATACTAATGATAGTGCAAATTTCTGCTGTGCATGAAATTATGATATATGTTTTTGATAATTTATAATGCTAATATTTACACAAGTTATATTTACCTGTTTCATAATAATTATTTTTAATTAACCGATAGAGTTTAAAAAAAAAGTTTTTATTTTTAACTTCGTAATTATATTATAAAATTTAATATATTTATGAAGTTTTAATTAATAAACACGATATATATTAATTACTCGGACAAACGATATTATTAGAAAAGAATGTCTATTACATTGAGATAAATAACATTTTTCAAAAAAAAAAAAAAAAAAAAAAAAATTATTTGTTACAAGTGTACATCTCACAGAGAAGGAATCCTATTTTTCTTCATTTAAATATAATTATTAATTCCATTGCACTAAACGTTGGAATCATAGGGAAATGTTAATGCCAGAGATTTCAGGAGAATGGATTTGCAGTAAAAAAGGAATAATTTTCGTTTAATGTAAATTTGAATAGATAAGCTATTTCATAATTACATAAATTATAAGATACTGGGGTGCATTCATAAATTAACTTCATATTTCTTATCAGGATATTTTCGTTACTTCAGAATAATCAGGATATCTTGAGCTAATAATACCTTTTTACTATTATATTAGTATGATAATGAAAGAATTTTTTTTATTTCTATTTAATAGGAAAAATAGTAGGAAAACTTTTGCCTTGAATTTTTTCAAATTAATGGATAATTCCAAAATTTTAAGCACATACGAAATCACAATCAGTTCAATAAAACGTCTATAATGTTATATAAATATATTTACTTCAATTGAACATAATATAATTAATTGGGACATATGTAATAATAATAGTTTAAATAATTGTATGATGTAAGAGATTTTTTATTAATCACATATTGTCGATTTGATTTTCATCATTTTATTCCGATTTATGCTTAAACACCGTAAAATAAAATTAACACGTCATTTTTAATAAAAACAAGTAGAACAATCTTAATCAGTATAAATATTTTTACAACTAATAAATAAATAGGAAATTAATATAGACAGTAATATCTATCTGTAATAAATTTATCTTCGTTGCATTATGAGCATAAGGTCATTGATCTTCGTAGTTTCCACGATAAATAAGGTTCGATTAAATATCTTTTAATTTAACATTTTTTTTTTTTTTTTTTTTTTTTTTTTTTTTTTTATAATTTGCATTTAAGTATTTGAAATAATATTATGAAACCAAAAAAGTCTTTCATCATTTACTTTATTTAATATACTAAGTAAATAGTAATATTTTCAAGTAGCCTCTAAGGTATAATTTTATAAAAGTACGTGTACATCTTTTTGAAAGCTACTTATATTTTCTAATATTAAAACGTAGTTTCTATATTTATTATACTAATTATTTTTTGAAATTATTCTTGATTTTTGCATTTTTGCATTTGACGTATATAAAGTGCTAATAAAAAATCTCATGTCTCTCCAAAATCTCATGTTTGTAAAATTTTCAATTTCATAGATTTTTGTTCATAGCTTCAATGGCATTTAAACTTATAAAAATGATTAATATACTGTGTGCGAAGCACGGTATATTATATTACTAAGTGAAATATTTTAAATTGGTTCATTTCCTCACACGAAACACCTCAATCCCATTATATGCAGAATGGTGGTAGCAAAACTAAAAAAGGATATGGCAATTTAATGGCATTCCAAGGATCCATGGGCGAATGGACAGGTAGCCGTTTGTATTTACGCCTTGGAATTCAAATATCCTAGTTCTCGAATCACATAAAAAATATAGCACTTTGAATATAAATAATGTATGTGTGTTACAAGGGATGTGTGATAAGGGACATATCGACTATTGGATTATAATCATATACGCTGAAAATTATCGGAAAATCTTTCAATTATAGTTTTTAATAATAAGCTTTGTTTACGTTGTTTTGTACGATGAAAGAATTATAAGATAAATTAGGATGTAAATCATTATTGGTACTATTTAATTTAGAATTTATAAAAAGCCATATAATTGAGGTATTTATAATTTAATATCAATTAAATGTCGAGTAAATTTTCTATAATTATGGATAAATAAATGATATAAATTTTACGCATAATTATTTCATATTATTTTTTTTTTAAATAAGCTTGTCATGACGCGTTAAGGGTTTCAAAATTTACACACAAGTTTAGAAATTCATACAATTTTCAATACACTCATTATATTTATAAACTAAAATTATCATTCACATCAATTCTAACTAATTTCACAAACCAATAAGTATAGACATTAAATAATGATATTAACTTCATTACAGCTCGATCAAGAATATTTAATTTTTTTTTTTATATATCATTTATTTTAATTTTATCTCACACTTATGATAAAACTTAAAAAAAAGAACTTGTCAAATTAACAGAGCCGAGATAAGGAAAAGGAAAAACTTCAATATGGTCTTACGTACATAGGAAATCATCGGTATGTTGAAAGCTGCAGCCATTCGTCCTTCATGCACGCAAGTCTCTTGTGGCCCAATGTATGCACTGACATTTTTCCGCCAAAGATTCGCCGTCATCAGAATGCTCTTTTCTTCATTTCCATATGTCTCGGCAACGAAAAAATCTAACCGGTGACCGCGTTTTCCCAACTCACCAGCATTCACCTGCGGATAATTAAGGCATCGCGACGATGATTATGATAGGACAGCAAAGAGCCTTGAAATTTATGGAAAACATAAAAGACTAATAAGAATAAAACGACGTTTTTCGAAATAATATTTGCGTTATTTTTAAGCTGTAATGTTTCAAATTATTCGAATACGATCGTCTATAATTTAATTGTTAAGATCTCCGAGGGAAGGGCAGATTTTCATTTTGATTCTTGGTTGAGCAAATCTATCTACCGTTATCTACTAAATTCCATCTATCTTTTTACAAATTAATAATAAGGCAATAAAAAGAAATCTCCTCGTTTCACTAAATTATTAACTTGCCCCATTACTCTACTACATATTTGAAATAATTTTTCAATAATATTAATATTTTTAATGGATAATAATACTACTCTAATTATATATGAACGGAGTAAAATAAACTATAACATACATTTTTTCATAATTCGTTTTATATTAAAATATTCAGAATTATTTGAATGTCATAAATTATAAATGTAATTATTGAAAAGCGCAAACAGTAATATTTATAGTAATGTTTCCAATAGTAAATATTGAATGTATTTAGCATTACTTGATTTAACAAAAGATATTTAAATTATATTTAAATTTTATAAAAATTTTATAAATTTGTTTTATACTTAAATTGACTAAATTATGCAAAATGAAATTCAGTATTTCAAATATGTTAGTCTTGATAAAAGACCATATAGTGATAATATCGCTTTGACGATTATTGGGATGTATTGGGATTTGTACAGTACGTTAATTTGTGCTTTTAGCTAGGGATTTTAGACGATTTTCTCTGGACTCTCAATAATTCGAAAATTATTCAAATACAATCTTTCAACAAAAGTATGGAATTGATATTTTATATTTCTCAAAATAAAGCGTAAGTATTAAAAAATTTGAACATTTGAAAAAGTGATGTACAAGATTAAGAAAGTAAAGGCAACTGTATACTATTATTTGACGATGACTGAGTTGAAGTGTAATACAAGGTTTTTTTTCATCGTAGCAGTATTGTTTATTTATTTATTTATTTATTTTTTTTCTAATAATAAAGTATTTTATCGAATAAATTACCGTCAGACACACACACACACACACACACACACACACATTCATTCTTTAATAATTACAAACTGTGATAATTTTTAGTTGATGTTAAATCGAATTTTAACAATCTAATTAAATAAATTAATAAATAAATCACGTCAAAAATATAAGTGAGAAGAATGTTTATAATTCGTGAAGTTGATGATTGCAAATATCCTTGATATTCTATAAGGAGAATTAAAATTTTAATCTATGAACCATAGGCAACATTGATTTATTGAAAAGATAAAATGATAATATTATGATTTTATTTATTAATTACTTGAACCATGAGATTTAAAAAAAAAAGTAATTACCAATATTTTATTTATAATACTTTTATTCAATATTATAACAAAATATAATTGCTCAAAAGTGTAGAATTTATATTATGGAATGATAAGTATGAAGATTATGTCTACAAATTTGATAAAGGAATTTTTGTCATTACAAATAATCTCTACACACGAGTTGGGAATATTAAAAAAATGGAGCTTCGATTATAATATTTCTTTATTATTATTGATATATTCATCAAATTTCTTAAATTTGTTGTATTTGCAAAGCTGACATCTACATAGTTGTGGGAAACTAAGCAATTTCAAATGGAAAAAAGGATTATAATCAATATCTAATATTTAAGAATGATTAACAATATCGAAATTTTTAATAAAGATGTGGAATTGAAGAAGAGACATAAAATTGTTTAATGCAGCAATTACGATAATACTTACTTAAAAAAATTATTTAAAACCATTATAAGCAGTAAATAGAAAATAAAGCATAAAAATATATCGTCGCGCAAAATTATGTTAAAATGATAAATAATGTTTCTACAGTAAGCATTAAAAAAAGAAAAGAAAAAGAAAAAAAAAAGAAATTAATTCTACGATTTTTAATACTTGTGAAATACATAATATTTATACGATATGTGCATTAGTATTGATTATTAAGCATACGTAGTTCCACATAATATATATATATATATATATATATATATATATATATATATATATATATATGATTATATTTATATAATATATTAAATTTAAATATATCAATTTAACTCGCAAACGTTGTTATGCCTAAAATGATATGTGGTGACTCAAATATTCGAATGGCTGAATTGCAATGGCAATATTCGAAAACCGCCAACTACGGTTATCATTACTCATGAATAACATGAAAGCGATTAGTTAGACGATATTATATTACTGCAATAAACCATCAACTACTATGCAAAAGGTTGTACAAGAAATGTTGAACGGTAGAATAAATCGAATATTGATTGGTAGCAGAAATTCTTATGAATATATGTATGATACATAATTTATATGAATTTAAGTATTAGCCTTTTTTTGATATAACTATGTTTCATTTTGGTTTTTCCAAACGACCAAATACATGGAAAAACAATTGAACGTGCAGTGATAATGAACGTTTAAGTAAATTAACATTTTGTTTACAATTATGGTAAAATGGATTGTAAAAATCGGAAAAATAACCGTCATTCTACTATGTATTGTCTCAAGTTTGAATTTTCAATGAAAAATGAAATAAATTTTTATCGTCGAATACGTTTTTATACACTTCTATACAACTTACCTATTAACTGTTTAAGACTACAATATTTAAAAAGAGCCCCCATTAAACTATAATGACCGTGAACCAAAGAGTACTAGTTTTTATTGGAGTAAAAAATGGAGCTCTAGGATGCTTGCCTTGCAGCGTTTAAATAACTATAAATGAGAATTTTCACCTCGTCGACGGCGAGGGTAATAGCCCCCGATATCTGGAGGCCGGGACGCGAGTATTCCCAGTCTCCAGGGCGTCTCTTAGAGCCGGTTATGTATCCCAGGGTGAAGCTCTCGGCGTTGACTGTGTCGACGAGTAGAGTAGAGCGTCGCCACGAGAAGATCGAATCTTTCTGAATGTGCTACTGGCATCACACCCTCGGTCCTCCTCTTTCTCCTTTGCAAAGGCCCTTGCCTCGGTCCAGCCTGCGACACATCAACATCAATTCATCAAATTCACTCGATTTGTAGGGGAATTTTGCATGTGTAGTGAGTCGAGAAGTTATCAAGAGCTCGTTACCAGCACTTCGATTATGATTGTTGTTACATTTAAGTTGAAAATTTTGCTTCTTACGTTTTTCAAATTGGTAATTATTTTTTGTCGTCTGCATTTAAAAATGATAAACAATAATGTTTGTCACCGTAAAGAAGTCTGTCTTATTGTATATTCTGTATATATCGTAGGATGCAAAATTCCAAATAATTGTACTTTCAATATTCATGTTTTAAATTTTTTTCAATTTTCATTCTATAATATTTTATTTTATCGAGGCCAAAATATTATGGCCTATTATTATTATTGTTCTTGTTATTGCTTTGAATCTGGTATATATATATATATATATATATAGCGAGTTAAAAATATTTACAAGAAAAATTATATTATAAATATTATTATATTAAACATTTTTTTTTTACTTAAAAACATTAGGTTAGTCGATGCATGTATTATAATATTTATTAAACACAAGGTTTTGTGAAATATTTTATTTTAAAATTGAAATAGACAAATCGGAAGTATAAGTGCCGTTCATTTCACAATGTTGAATGGCATATATTTTTATTTTTATTATTTTTATTATTATTAAATAATATATAAAATTAAAAGAAAAAGAAAAATTACCGAATGTGAATAATAATCAACTATTATACTACGCAAAAGTTGAATACTTTTCTAATTAGATGGCCCATGTCAGAAACGTGTACGTACGTTTTATTATTTTTTCAATGAAACGCATTTTTATTTATACCCTTTGAAGATTTTAACTAAACGAACCAACATAAGTGATAGAAATATTTACATTCTGATTTATTTGTTGTATCGGGTACAGTGATTTTGCCAACTTTACTGCTATTTACATTATTCATTAGATAAATAAGTATTTTACATATAGTAATAAAAATATCAATATTAATATTATTAATATAATTTTTATTATATTTTTATAAATTATTATATTAAGAAAAGGTAACTTGATTTCGCAATTTCTTATCTTTCAGTCAAAATTTTTTTTAAAATGCATTGAAAATGCGCTAGTCACTTGTGAACTTATGAAAAACACATAGAGCTACTTAATAAGTCCAGATGATCGTTTCTTCAAATCTCAAAAAACAGCTGCACGTATTCCTTAAGAGAAGAGTTTGCCGTTTAACCGAGTATCACGAAAACTGCCGTATGACAATGACAAGTTAATTAAAAGCTCAAGCTGGCGAAGCGAATCATTAACCGATTGTAAGAAACTTGCGAGTGGCGTCGTATCGATGATCTACAATACTTCCTACGAAACCCAACCTACCACTATTTACTACCCGATCTACCACTGTTTACTCACTATTAGTAAAACAGCAAAAACATCAACGGTGTATATATGTGCGACGAACCAGCAGCCGTGAACGCAATTTGACAAGTAACATACCTTTGGGTAATCATACTTTTTTTCTTATTTTTTAAAATATTTAAATTATTCAACCTAAAAAAGTAAGTTTTATGAAATGTTTTAAATATATATATATATATATATATAATAAGATTATGTGAGCATGAATTTTTGTGCAATCATTTATCTTTATGGACTGTTTCTGTGCTCTTTATTGTTCTAACAAAAAAAAGAAGAAGGATAAGTGTGAATTTTTTTTTCAAACCATCATCGCTATGTATGTGTGTATCTATGTACGCATTTTCTTACGATATCTTTTTAAAATTACCCGATTATCCTTTGTTATTAATTAGAAAAATGTAAGCTTTCTGTATATTTGAGTAATCAAAAAGAATGAAAAAACAACAATTACACAAAAATTATTTTCAAGTAATTGGCATTTTCGTTTTATTGGTGTCTATATATTTGTATAAAAAAAAAAAAAAAAAAAAAAAAAAAAAAAAAAACACACACAGACACACACACAAAAACACAGCTGCGACACAAATACGATCCCCCAAAGTGTTAAGTAATAATATACGAAGAATATAGTGTTGGCATTTGACAAGGATATTCTCCTTCATATTTTTATTAATGCCTACCATTACTTCTTCGTCTAATTGATAAATCGAGTTTTTAGATAGATGCTCACCATTTTCCATGGCCAACTTCTGCATTGTGTTTTCTCCTGTTACACATAATACACACGCTGAACTAAGTATTATATATATATATATATATATATATATATATATATATATATATATGTTACGCGCATGTACACACGTAACTCTTAATAATTAAGCAAATTCGTCATTGCTGCTAAAGTCAACAAATACCTCTTCACCGAGGCTGAGGATATAATTTTTTAATGAGATTTATCGTTTTATTGAATTATAATTAAAGTAAAGATAATAATGACTTGGCTCTATATAGCTGATATTTATTTGGAAGTGATAGTACCTTAATTAAAGTATAATAATTTTTTATTTAAACATTTCGTCGCATCGATTTTTCTGTAGCATTGACACTGTATGACATATGATAAGAATTTTATGTACAATAAATGTCTGTCGGTTATCAGAGAAAATTAATTAAATTAGAGGAATTTTTACTTATTCTAATTAACTCGAAAAGATTTTATGCAACTATAAAGCTATAATTTTTTAAATTATAATTGTTGTAGCGAGGCTGAAATTATTATCATAAAAATTTTTATTAGTAGAAAAATTTCATATTAGTAGTTACTATTTACTGCTTTGTAATATGAATAATTTTGCATGGGGTAACGCTTAAATAATACGAACGTAAGAAAATGTCAATTAATTATAGAAATCTTTATATTTAGAATAAGTTATAATGTTTAAGGGAACTTGATAGTAGATATGTATGAAAAATGTATTTTATGCTTATTAATAAAAAGTCTTATTAAAAACTCTAATAAAAACTAAATATAGTTTCACTATTTGAAAATATGTCACCGAGTCCGCCTTATAATATGATACTTGTTGGCATCATATCAATTCTTCAGTTTCAATTTATAAATAGAAGCCCAAATTATTGAGCTGAAGAAAGTTGAAAAGCGATTAATGACAGTAATGCGCTCTACATGAATATTCATTTGATAAAAATCTGTAGATAAATTAAAATTATAATCTACTATCTAATAACATAAATGTAAATTAAAGCAATAATATAAATCTAAATAATAGCGAGAAAACATTTTATAATATATTCATTATCGGCAAACAAATTAACTTAATTAAGAAATTACGAAATATATGTATATAGAGGTAATCAGATAAAAAATAGGCAACGATGGAGTCGACCACTTTTTCTTCAATCCGACTATTTATTCAATATGAATGAGACGGATTGGGAAAGATTATGCCACAACTTATCCATAATGGAGAAAACTGGTACACAACAGTATGAGGTACAAATAAATAAGTAAATATCATTGATCTCCCGCGCGGTCAAGAGCCATCAATTCTTTCATTTCTATGGCTTATTATTTTTTCTTACTTAATTCTTGCTTTTTAATGCTTTATACGAAGAATTCATTTAGACTCTATAATTTTTTCTTTTAATTTTTTGCCTCCTTCTACTTTTGCCATTATTATACTGATAGGACTACTACAGGACTATCGATCTCATTGTAATTTGGAAATTATAGGAGCATTGGACGAATCTTTACAGTTTATTGCATAATAGTATGCTTTTGCCGAGACTTGTACAATTGTATACTTGTGCTATGTGTTGCATATAAAAATGTTTAAAATTAAAGCTATTTTAACTGGCCAGGATAAATTCATTTTTTAATTGACAGGCAATTTGTAATAATGGGAAGAATATTTGGTAAAAATTATGAAGGAGTATCGTTATACCGTGAAAAGGGCAATTTTATCAATTATTTAAGTGAGAAAAAAAAACATTTTTTTTTTCTATTAGGATGACGATATAATGAATTCTTATTTTACTTGACTATTTCAAATTAATTCGACCAATATTGCTTTTTTCTAGTTCATCGAATGAACATTGAAGAATAAGAATGTATAATAAATCTTCCGTTTACCACGATAAGCACTATAATAAATAACGTTGATCTATTTTGAAAGTCCGTTAGTGGCAAAGCTCGACAAAGACGAGATAAAGGAAGAATTTTTTTTCTTTGCAAATAAATAGTTTTACTGCCTTATATATATATATATATATATATATATATTTACACAGTGTACATCGAGTATTGAAATCTTATAGTTTATACTTTATTTATTGGGATTGGTTGATCCCTTTTTTCTTAATCTCTCTTTTTTTTCTTGCACAAATCATTTTTCCTTTATTTATTATACAACATTTTAAGTATATTATACATTAAATTGATGCTCTGTTACAAAAAATACTAGACGTTTATTTTTACACTAAGAATCTCAATGCACGTGGATGATGTAAAACCAGGTAAAGAACTTAGACAGATTGTGTATAGTTGAATACACAGATGTATTTCCTATATGTTATATATATATATATATATATATATATATATATATTTTTATAAAGAGAATCGAAACTACAAAAAATTACAAGATAACATTTTTAATCGTGCAATTTTTTCCAACGTTCACAACTCGTTAAAAGAATCAAAACATTTATAATACGAATAATGAAATGTTTATGTAAATAATTTTGCAAGTAGGGTAAACCTTTTATTCATCGATATTTGCCTTTTATTGTCTTCTTTTTTTTCAATTTTTTTTTCTTTTTTGTTTTGTTTTAAATAAATGTACGGTATATGGACAGAGATATCCCTAGCTCAATTATGAAAATGACGAAAATCGAAAAAAATGAAATAAAGTATTCGGGACACCACAATTGGCGTGTTAGTGACTGTTAAAAGTTCTGTCTGTGCATCCAAATTGCTATTATTGAAGTAATTATGAAAACTTGTACGTGAATCCTCTAACTCCGTTTCACTATGATCGCACGCATCACTCAATCGACCCGACCTACCTGTCCATCTACCCACTAAGTCCTCTGAACTTTCCTGCATATCAACATGCTCACGTAAATGCCTACGCTATTCAAGCGTTCAAATTTGTTTCAACGTGTCTACGTAATAAATTATCGATTACCGAATTACGAATTTCTCTGTATTTTTCCTGTTTTAAACTCGGAGAATTTATTAACGCTTACCCTCGTTTACACTAACTATTACTCAACTCGTCAAATTCTGACTTTGATTATGATAACACAATTTCTATATACGTTTTCAATGTACGTTTTTATTCTCATCAGATTTGATTGTTTTCAATTGACCTCAAACGAGATTTTTGTTTTTCTTCTTTAACTAGGTGTAAATCATTTATTACCCTCAAATTCTCGAACACTAGTGTTTGTCCAAATTGATTGAGTATAACGAGAAAAATAGGCGATGAGGGGCCACACCGAAAAAAAAATAAAAAAAAAATATATATATATATATATATATATATATACAAACTATGCCTTTATATTTTGAAATGATTGAATGGTTAAATAATTATTTGTTAACTATAATTTGGTAATATAACGAAGCAGTGAAACGATATTATGGCAACTAAAAACTGTACAGAGAATGTTTATAGAAAATATATATTTTAGAGAGATAATAGGGAGTGTGATGAGGGAGAGAAAAATAGGGGGAAATAATTGAGGTTTTATCTTTTTTTAAATTTAATAAAATTTGTTGACTGCACCCGGTGAATTATATGATCGTGAATATCATTAGAATAAATAATTGAAACATAAGGAATATTAACAATTGCCAATTGGCCAAAAAACTGTTGTAAGAAAAACATAAAATTATATTTTAATAATTATACAATAAACTATTAATAAACATTTTTATGCTAAATCGTAATTATTCTAACTAGTTAAAAGAGCATCAATTTTTAATTATTATATATTAATTTCCTTTCACTGATTTCAATCTTAAAGTTATGTATGGGTCTAATTGTTTTTTTTTCTTTATATATAAAATTGTATCATTTAACATTACACGTTATTAGTCACTTTTAAATATAATGTTTCATAGAGCCTATCAGTATGTTATAATTTTGTGAAAGTTTTTAGATAAATATAGTTTTTGACAAATATTGTGTATATTAACTTTTTATTAACATTTTATAAAAATTGATGTTATTTTTTTACGATTACTAGAAGTTTCATTTAAAAATAATTTATTTATTGTTACTTTTAATAATTTATTATTATTACGATACTTTTTTTACCAAATATTTCTAAATATACAACAGAATAGTTTCTTTGCGTAATTTTTTAATTACACTTTTTCGCTGATTCCCCGTGATATTACGCGTTAACATAAGTTTTTAGAATAGAATTTAACGTTTTTTTTTATTATTTAAATATAAGAAGACTAACATTCTACCCTAAAACTGCAAAACATTACAAGACAATAATGAAAAAGCTAATTAACACGAGTGTTTGTCCTGGTCTCCATGTCATGGATTTTAATTTAGCCGTACGAAGTGTGTTTTGTGATTATTAAAAATGATTTCTGTAACGCGCAGTCTTCCTCATACATTTTGATTTCGTATACTACTAAATCATCCTATATCAAATTATATATAACTTTTACACAAAAAGGATGAATGTGAACATGTGAATTGTTACACGCACGCGCGCGCACGCGCGCATACACACACACACGCACACACACACACACACACACACACACACACACACACACACACACACAAAAAATAGAGTAGAATTTGAATTAAGAACTTTTAAAGCAGTGCCAACGTGAGATATATAAATTCTATGCACTTGTCATTCCAGATATTTGTGAAAGTATCGGCATATGTAATTAATATTATTAGAAGTACCAGCTACAATTGAACTAATAAAAATGTTAATCAAAAGGATACACACTCGTCCAGGCGACGCATAATAACGCTTGACCACGATACCTGACACAAAGACTGCAATAATTCCTTATCGGTATGTCATCGAGCCGCTCACTGTTACTATTTTATCGCCTTAACTAAAAGTTCGCACTAAATAAATAAAACAAGAGGTGAAAACCCGTAAGAAATCTCTTACAAGGTACGGATGATGAATAAAAGAATGGCCGAGTGCGTGGAAGCAGTAACGAATCTAAAGAGGCGAGCACTAG